AGTAAACACATATACACGTTAGTTACGTTATACAAAACAAACGATAAATTATATGAGATAGTATTAATAAACACGTCAAATAAAATAAAAGAGTAATGTTTGTTATATTGAGAAAAGTAATTGTAACACAAAAGTACATTTGGTATCGTGAAAATGACCAGATCTTCGCGTGCAAAGTGAATAATAGAAGGATCCATTATTTAACCTTCGAAGATCTATGGAGAAACGAAAACTTCTAAATCAAGAAAGCCTGCCTGAATATGTTCGTTTTCGAAACACGTCAAATTTCCAATTCTTTCTCTAAAAAAAAATAAAAAAACAGGTGGGCCATCCTGCATTAGAGTTTATAAGACTCTCTTTCTTTAACTTTCTTTATCTTTCTCTCTCTCTACTTCTTTTTCTTTTTTCCAATGCCCTCAGCCATCTTCGAATTCTCTGGACGTTCGTATTCATCGATGCATGCCTCCGAGTCGAATACCACTTTGGAGCGTGTCGAGCTTCTCCTTTCCTCACATTTCTTCTTCTATTCCTACCCCACGCATTTCTCTCTCTCTCCCTCTCTCTCTCTCTCTCCCTCTCTCTCTCTCTCTCTCTCTCTCTCTCTCTCTCTTTCTTTCTTCCTCCCCCTACTTTTTCCATGCGCGAAACGGTCATCGTGTTCGTTGTCATCGGCATCGTGCAGTTCTATACTGTAAACAAGCTGCGAAAAAAGCTTCGGCTGTATGCAAACCACGATTTGCTGACTCTCCGTGACCATGTTTTACATATCGTCCCGGTTACAGAATAATATTGGTTCGGCTTGGTATCGAACTAAACCATGAGCCTTAACAAATTTATATCGTTTAAATTCAAAATAATATTCCATTTTGCACACGCGGAGACGAAAAGTAACTAAGGAAGAGTGGAAGAAGATGAGAGAAAAAGGATAAGGAGGTACGCGTACGGTCAGCATACCAGGCACCGGTAAAAAATGATGGTAGGTCGATGCACTCTGTGTCCGAGTCTCGCAACGTCTCGCAGCATTATTTTCTTGCTCTTTTAGCTAATGACATAGCCGCGAAACGTTTCTTCGAGCTCGGTCTCGGTCGCACGATCGTTAGACAGCTCGGCAAATATCACGAGACGTATCTATCGGGCGAAAATTAGTTTCTTCCGTGTTGCACACTCCCTCCTCTAGTTTCTCCTCGTAGTTGTACCGCCATCATCATCATCGTCGTCATCGTCGTCGTCGTCATCGTCGTCGTCGTACCAACGGAACTAAAAGAGAAAGAGGAGGAGGAGAAAAAAATATTCGCATTTACTAGTCGAGCGTGAACCGTCCACGAACTATCTGACTATTGAACTATCCCTGTCGCTTTCCTTTTCCTGTTTTTTTTCTCTCTCTCTCTCTGTCTCTGTCTGTCTGTCTGTCTGTCTCTCTTTAACTCTCTCTCTCTTCTTTTTTTTTCTTCCTTTCCCTACGTGCACTATCGAGTATGCGAAAATAATAGTCGATTCTTACCACGTTGAACGATATTCCGAGCACGCGCGTAAGCCGATCCAAACAACGATCGAACAGACGATTCGAGGAAACAAGGTGGAAGCTCTTCGATGCAAGGAAACGATCGTTATATAATAATACAATTTTTACTCTTGAATTTAATAATAAGACTTCCATTTATTCTTCGTTGCAAAAAACATTTATCCAAGTGTTTTTCATTGGTGAATTTCGAAGAGAGGCTCGCTTACTATTTCCCAAAGACTCCAAAGGGCCATTTTTTTCTTTCTCCCCTTTTTCTCGAGACTCGCCGAAGGAGCGAACGTAAATGAGTAAACAAACCATAGCCGGTTTAGCGCGACGAGGTGTCGCGGTGCAAATAATCGTCTTTCTCGAAGATCCAAGGCGCGAAAGTGCACGTGTCTGCAAATATACCTTCTTTAATATGTGCACGGAACGAACCATCCGAGCTTTCCTTTCGGACACTCCTTCTCCTTCTCTACTCTTTTATCGCCTCTTTTCTCGCTCTCTTCCCTCATCGAGATTCTCTTCGCGCCACTCGAGGATAACTCACCATCAACGAATGCGTCAAGTGATTTCCTCATCCTCTTCTAATTCTTTTATTTATCTTTTTCTTTCTTTTTTTTTTATTTATTTATTTCTTTTATCATTTTTTCTTTCCATCTACTACGTATCTTCTTCAGATTTTCGATATTTGAATATATAAATTCTTTTTTTCTCTGCTTTCGAATACGATATAGCGAGATGAATGACAGAGGCACTCCTCTCGGAATGGGTCGTACCTTTGTGAATCACGTAATTGAAAAGGAAACAAAGCTCATGGTACCACCCGCAGTCCAATCGACGTTAACGATGCTGTGTCAATGTCATGCGAGATTGAACGTTCAATGACCCTCCCCCCTCTTTCCAAGCCATTGCATAACATCGTAGCTAGGAGAACGATCTCGCGGTCGTTAGACATATGTAACATAGAAGCCGAGCATTAGGCTAATCGAGTATAGCACGATGACAAGGGTCGTTCCACGCGTCGTTTATTAACGATTTTTCTATTAGAACTACGCGTCTTTCGGTCGGAAGATCGAGTTACTCTCTGTCGTCGGATTAAAGCAGCCTTATCCAGAATATTTTTTATTATTTCCTATAGAGAGAAAAAAATCAAAAAATAAAACCAAAAAAAAAATCTTTCGAGAGTGACGTAAAAGAAGGAAAATAAATCAGTAAGTCTGTCATAAGCACAGTATTCCTCCCCCCCCGTTCTCTTCGTGAGAAGTAGGTTATTGACCCAAGTAGGTGTAACGACTTATTATTGCGGCAATCGTCTACTCGCTCCACGCGGTCGAGGCAATCTCTTTAAGCTATGAGTAGTACGTAGAGCAATTTTGTCGGTGACCGTTCCTCTTATTTTACTATTCAACTTTGAAAGAGTTCGCGTCTTTGAAAGTAGAATAAAAACGATCAAATAGGATAGATAATTTGGTTTGTAGGTGTGACGGTTAACGAGTCGCGCGTTTTCCTGTTTGTTCCGCAGAGAACGCGGATTGCACGACAATTCGCTGTCGAGAGGGGCAGACCTGCCTGACGGAGATAAAGTCCGGTCGGCCGCGTTGCGTGACCTGCACGTACCGTTGCCCCCGGAAGCGGGAGCGCGTCCGGAACCGGACGCACCGCGATCGTGATCGGGATCGAGATCCATCGACGACCATGCTGTGCGCGACCAACAACATCACCTATCCCAGCTGGTGTCACATCGTCAAGGACGCCTGCGTCACCGGCTTCGTTCTCGAGACGCGACATGCCGGACCCTGCAACGCCTACGACACGTCTCCCCTTTATATCGGTGAGCAACCAATCCAACGAGGCTCGAACCTACACGTCACCCACACTCACGCACGCACGCATATGTATACACACATAAAGATAAGTAAAGACTCTATTCGTAGAATCGTTGATATTCCGTGCTCTAGGCTTCCAACTATAAAGGACGCTTAGTTTATTTTTATCCAGCTCGTTTCGGATCGACGACGAAACGTTTATTTTAGATTTCGCCATCATCACCACCACCACCACCACTACCACTACCACCACCACCACCACCACCATCAACATTATCGCGAGAAAATTTATGCTCTCCGTATTTATCTATATTTTCGTCTAGGCTACCATCGATCTATCCATCTTTCTTACTTGTTTACTTTATTTATTTCTTTGTTCTTTCTTTTTTTCTTTCTTTTTCTATTTCTTTCTTTTTTTTTCTTTTTCTTTTTTTCTTCTCTTCTCTTCTCTAGTACTCTCGGAATATGGCGTGGGCCATTCAAGCGCCATCCGCTTGAACGACCGATCGACAGGGTAATCCAGCGTGGAATTCGCCTTGCTCGAGTCGCGTCTGCAAATAAACGCGCCCACGCAGCCAACGCATCACAGTCTCCGAGAAATAGCCAAGCGTCGAAACCGGCAACGAGATCGGAGAACCGGAAAGGAATCGGATAGAAATTTCTCGTACTCTTTCGTGGATTCTTTTCCCGTTACCATATATGTATTCCAATCATTTAAAGTTCTTATTTTTTCTTTAAATCGTGATCGGATTTAATGTAATGCCGTTCTCTAATCTCTCTTTTTTTTCGTTCTATTCATTTTTTTTGTTTTGTGTGCGTGTATGTGTGTATGTTTTTTTTTTTATTCCTATCTTTTCAAAGTTTTCAATCGTCAAGCAAAACGCGGTATGAGCAGATAGGAAATCGATTTGCACGACAAAGCACGTAACAATAGTAGTCGCGCTCTTCGCCTCTTCTACCTAGTAGCAGCTAGCGTACTCGTGCGCGCCGAAGCGAGCGTGTGTTGGAGAGATGCAAGGACCTGTTGCGCGTGTAACACGGAAGTGGGAAAGTCGCTCGTGCATCGATTCATAATAGACTATTCCTTTTGTCGTCAACGCGATTAGGATCTGTGTTAGCCTATTCAAAGAGACTACGATTCGTTTTCCAATCGGAATATTTTGTTTTTTATTTATTTTATTTATTCTCTCTCTCTCTCTCTCTCTCTCTCTCTCTCTCTCTCTCTCTTTTCTCTTCTTTTTTTTATTTTCCTTCTTTTGTTTCGTTTTGTTTCCTATATATTTTTCATAAAACAAACCAACCTATGAAAGGTGTGCAAGAGGCGAAAAAAGAATTTTCTGTTACAGAAGAGGACAATACGTCGAGCAATTATGGCGTAGATTTGGCCGACGAGGAAAGGAAGATCTCAGAGGTAGACTCAGAATCTTCTCAGACTTTCCAACCGCATCGTTCATTGGCATCGACGTAGCACGCTTAAAGTTTATAACACGTTGAATAGTAAGATAGATAAAATGCAACCAAGTCATAAAATTCAACGAATCGTCCTCACGAACGACGAGACGATTCGAAACGAAGAGTTATCCTTCTTTCGTCTTGAAAGATCCCTTTCACGAAAATTCCATGACTTTGACATATCCGATGTGTATGTTTGTGTGTGTATGTATGTGTGTGGTGTGTGTATGTTTATTGTGTGGTGTGTGTAGAGATATACACGCATACTATATATACATGCTTATATGTATGTATGTATGTATATATCGGTGAAAGATATAAGAGTGAAAGGGAAAAAACAGAATACATACGTATATATGTATGTATGTATGTATGTATGTCTCTTGGAGAGAAGCTTAATACATTCGTACGGTGAAATAGTAGATGAAGAGATAGTATCTCGTTTGATTTTCGAGAGAAAATCAAAAATCTTCTTTTAAATCCCCAAATAACATGAAATACGAAGAAGAAGAAAAAGAAGAGGTAGAACCCGAAGTAATAGTAGAAGAAGAAGAAGAAGTAAAAACAAAAATAGAAGAAAAAGAAGTAAAAGCAGAAGTAGAAGGAAAAGAAGGAAAAGAAAAAGAAGAAGTAAAAGCAGAAGTAGGAGAAGAAGAAGTAAAAGCAGAAGTAGAAGAAAAAGAAGAAGAAGAAGAAGTAAAAGCAGAAGTAGAAGAAGAAGAAGAGGAAGATTGGAAGAGAAAATCATCCACCGAAACTAAAATCTAGAGAAAGTTGAGTCACGAGAGGCGATGATGCACCACCACAAGAGAATCTTCGATCGCGACGAACTCTCGAGAAAATCACGAAGGATGATAAATAAAAGAGACGATAAAAGGTATCGCGCGCGTATCCCACCGACGACTCTTCTCGGCGTAATATATACATATATATATACACACACACTATATCTGTTCGCTCTTAAAACTCACTTCTCTTCGTCATCGTCATTGTGGTCATCATCGTGATCGTCGTCGTCGTCGTCATCGTTATTCAAAATATTGTAAAGCGTGACCGTGTCGTGTGAAAAATTCACAAATCACAGACGAAAACGATAGATCGCGAAGAAAGCGAAATATTAACCCCTTTTTTCTTCCTCCCACGTCCTCGTCGTCCACACATTATTATTGAGGATAATTAGCATATTTACTAATTATATTAAATAGACGAGTAATTTAGCGCGAGTCAATATTTATTCTATCAATTTATGCGAGGTTGGACGCGTTCGATTTGCCCAATTTGAACGATCGAGAAGTGTGCAATTTTCCCAAGAAAAAGGATTCGTTGATCCACGGACGTTTCTTTATTATCCTTAATTATCTCACAATTTTCCTTTCTTTTCTTTTTTTTATAATCTCTACTATTTACGTATATATTCGATAAAAATAATAAAACTCTTTGCATTATCGATTGCAATTCTAAATTGAAAGACGTCATTTAAAGAAACTCCGAAGTGACGCGAACGGAAGGAACTTCCTTTCTTTTTTTTTTTCTTTCGGCTTCGATCGTCTAAAGTGTGCCTCATCCTCCTACTTCTCCTCCTTCTGACGACAGTAGTATCGCCGTCGTACTTAATTTATTAATAACGACGAGGTTGCGAGCTCGGGAATTTTTGCGACGCCACAATGGCGGCTCGGCGACGATGAGGACTCGTCTCTGACACATCGCGACGTGGACCAGAAGACCACTTTCTACCTGTTTTCTGTGTAACGACGATTGCCACGAGACTGATAAAGAGAAAGAGAGAGAGAGAAAGAGACAATCGTCCCGATTTAACATTTCGTTTCGTCTTCTTTTCTCCAGAAAAATATCTCTTGGAAAGTATTCTATTCTTCTCTTCGTAGCTCGTAAACGTACGAGTTGAAAAATCAACGATCTGCAAATAGGAACGTATATTTCGCAGTCGATTGAATTATGGTTCGTCGATCCCCTCGAACATATATCAGAGAGAAAGAGAAAGAGTAGGATAGAGAAAGAAAGAAAGAGAGGGGACAGCATACACAGTTTGCGGACGATCGAAATCCGAGGTAAAAGTTTCACGAGAGGAATTTATCGGTCACAATAATAATACTCGTCTCTCTCTCTCCCTCTCTCTCTCCCTCTCTCTCTCTCTTTCTCTCTCTCTCTCTCTCTCTCTCTCTTTCTCTCTAAGTGTGTATGTGTGTGTTTACTGTTCTCAGACTCTGTGGACTCCCTCTTGCTTTTTCCTTGATTATCCCACGAGAACACAAATTTCTGGAATGTAAACTTCTTCGAGTTCTCGTCGCCGCCGTTCTCGTTGTCGTCGCGAAACGATTAACGTTCCTGACAGTCTCAAAACTGTTCCAGGAAAAAGAAGAAACCTTACGACGTGGGTATACCCTTCTATACTCGAGGTAGAACGATTCGAGAACTCGCCATTCAAAAGTTATTAAGACAGATTCACAAGGGCTTTTTCGTGGGTATAAGGAAATACGGAAGGAAAAGAAAACAAAAAAAAAATATAAATCGATAAACTGCTTAAAATAATTAGAGGATCGCTACTGTGAACTGAGTGAATGAAAGAGGAGAAAAAAATAAAAGAGTGATCTGTAAAATCATGAATTGATTTTTCATCATTTATGTGATAATTATGAGTATTTATAATTGATGTGTCGTGTCAACAGTGACAACAGTTGCAATCCTCTAATTGTTTAGAACGGTGTATATATATATAAAATTTCTTTCTCTCTCTCTCTCTCTCTCTCTCTCTCTCTCTCTCTCTCTCTCTCTCTCTCTCTCTCTCTCGCTCTCTCGCTCTCTCTCCCTCTTTCTTTCTTTTTCACTCGAGAATGAAAGCACGATTAACCGAAGTACGAACGCGCAATGTACTCTTATTAAAAGGCACGTACTTGTCACATTGAAAATAGTATCCCTTCTCATTCATCTTTTATCAATGTTATATTCGTGGGAGAAAGAGCGTCATAATTCTTCTATAATGAAATTTCCAAATTAATGTCATGCATGTATGTCTAATATTCTTTCAATGCGCTCTTCAAATATACATGTACTATATGACGATATTACCGCAGTCTCGTTCGAATTAAGATATATTGCAATATGTTTTAATGTGGACAGCGTATATTTAAAAAAAAAAGGAATAAAAAAATATGTATAAAGGTATAAAAACAAAATTAACGCGTACTACTTCGATAATGCAAAAGAAAAAAGAAATAATAATGATATATGGTAAAAGAAAAAAGAAAAAAAAAAAAAGAAACTTATAACATAGATCGAATGAAAATTATGATGATATAGTTCCTCTACTTATTACTATATATGACGTAAATTCTGTGTAAATTATTATTTTAACATTATCGTCTTCGTCATCCTTATCGCCATTATCATCATCATTATTATTATTATTTTTATATTTTTTATTATTATTATTATTATTATTATTATTATTATTATTATTATTATTATTATTATTATTATTATTATTATTATTATTATTATTATTATTATTATTATTATTATTATTATTATTATTATTATTATTATTATTATTATTATTATTATTATTATTATTATTATTATTATTATTATTATTATTATTATTATTATTATTATTATTATTATTATTATTATTATTATTATTATTATTATTATTATTATTATTATTATTATTATTATTATTATTATTATTATTATTATTATTATTATTATTATTATTATTATTATTATTATTATTATTATTATTATTATTATTATTATTATTATTATTATTATTATTATTATTATTATTATTATTATTATTATTATTATTATTATTATTATTATTATTATTATTATTATTATTATTATTATTATTATTATTATTATTATTATTATTATTATTATTATTATTATTATTATTATTATTATTATTATTATTATTATTATTATTATTATTATTATTATTATTATTATTATTATTATTATTATTATTATTATTATTATTATTATTATTATTATTATTATTATTATTATTATTATTATTATTATTATTATTATTATTATTATTATTATTATTATTATTATTATTATTATTATTATTATTATTATTATTATTATTATTATTATTATTATTATTATTATTATTATTATTATTATTATTATTATTATTATTATTATTATTATTATTATTATTATTATTATTATTATTATTATTATTATTATTATTATTATTATTATTATTATTATTATTATTATTATTATTATTATTATTATTATTATTATTATTATTATTATTATTATTATTATTATTATTATTATTATTATTATTATTATTATTATTATTATTATTATTATTATTATTATTATTATTATTATTATTATTATTATTATTATTATTATTATTATTATTATTATTATTATTATTATTATTATTATTATTATTATTATTATTATTATTATTATTATTATTATTATTATTATTATTATTATTATTATTATTATTATTATTATTTTTATTTTTATTATTATTATTATTATTATTATTATTATTATTATTATTATTATTATTATTATTATTATTATTATTATTATTATTATTTTTATTTTTATTTTTATTATTATTATTATTATTATTATTATTATTATTATTATTATTATTATTATTATTATTATCATTAATATTATTATTATTACTATTGCAATCAGAAACTTTCGCGATATATCTCCTCTATAGTTCACTAGCAAGGAATATTGGAAAGTGACTAAAAAAAAAGAAACGGGAAAATCTTTTTTATGCCGATTGAGTAGATAGATCGATGAGAGACTGCCTTTATCGTTATTATCATTATTAATATATTATTTTATTGTTACATGATTGTCACTATTGCTACAATTAAATTTATTATCATTCAACAAATTTCAATTGAATTTGGAAATCATTATCAAACAGCCATTTTATCAATAATAATAATAGTAACCTTAATATATCGTGTAATAAACATGAATAGAAAACGATCATCGATAAATGCTATAATATTCGACTATACGTTCTGACATGCCGACTGAGATGGCGACCATCTCGAAATCCCGTACTGGGCGCGAAAATTTGACACTTACTCATCTAATTGCGATCAGATGAGCTTAAATCTTTTAAAGGATTTTAATATATAATTGGTAGTAGAAGAAAGACAATAAAAGTTCTATTAATGTGAAATAAAAACTGAAAAAAGAAAAAAGAAAAAGAAAATGAAAATGAAATTTGCTTTCTCTTCTGTTACCTTCTGAAGCTTCACTAAAGATATAGAGAAGAAATAACGGAATTAAATACAATGAACACCAAAAAATACGTAATGAAAGTTTGAATAGACGCGTGCTTATAAGAAATACGTACATACATGAGTATGAGTGTGTGCGTGGATGTAATGTGTCCTTATTTTTGTACGTATATATATATATATATATATATATATATATATATATATATATATACGTGAAATTCACGTTAAGTTTTTGTCTTTAAACTTTGTGTAACTTCTTTCATGAATTTAATCGCAATGCACTCGTAATATCTACGAATATTCGCACAGATCGCGGATATAATCATTATATAAATTCAAAATATAAGAGATTGAATTCTAACTTTGGAAGAAAATATGAGAAGAATATAGTCATACATATATATATCACGATGAAAAAAAAAATATATAAAATAAGAGGAAATTATCTAAGAAACGTAAAAGAATTGTAAACGCGTAACTTATATTATTGAATTAACTGTAAGATTTTAAAATGCTTTATCTAGGCCGTAACGAAAATAAATTAACTTATGAATAAAATAAAGGAATAAATAAATATATAAATAAATAAACGGACGAGAAGGTGAAAATATATGGGTATATTATATGTATATATATATATATATATATATATATATATATATAATTTATAATATAGTATATGTAATGTATATTGTAATATATATGTTATTATATTATAGCATACACAACTATATATATTATATGTATGTGATATTATATGATTATATTATAATATATACATATGATATATACATGAAAATTATATGTATTAGCAAAATTATATATACATATATACGTAATATATATATATATATATATATATATATTTATTTATTTATAATATATATAATACGTGCATATGTATACGTATATCATTAGCAACTACTTGCAAGACTGTGGAACATTATAGGTGTATAAATGTTTAAATAAATTATTATAATGGCAATCAATTTTACATGAAAATACCTTTAGTATGATCTTTTTTTGCATATATTCTTTAACTAATAGATATAAAAAAAATACTGATAAAGTCTAATAAAATACACTCACTGTTTCGTATCTACTCATGAATATTCGTCAAATTGTCTAATTATTAATTATTTTAAAACGTGTTAATTTTCATAATAATCTAAATTTTATTCCGTAATTATTAGTATATTTCTATATTTCTATATTTACATCTTTTCTTCCATAGAGTTATTCAAAAAACTACCGCGGTTACGTAAATTTCGTTCTTCTAACCACCGATAGAGGCAACACTAGTTACATGTTACTCAAACGTCATCTAGCGTTAAATGAAATAATAATTACTCACCAATCATAGTTCTTGTAGTATCGGATAAAGATAGCTTTTGCTGTCGGATAAAATTTCCGTACTTCGCTATTATTTACGTTTTCAATGTTCGTAAACTAAAATATTTGTAATACAGAATTATTAAAATCTATCATACAGATATATAATTAAATAGTAAAAGTTTCTAAATTAAAAAGATATAAACTTCACAAATATGTCTGTCAATAAAATTCAGGTAGGATAACAATTGTAAACAAAATTATAGGTTATGTGTCTTAATTAAATAGAATAGATAGAAATATATTGTTTAAATGTAATTATAAAGAAAGCTCTCATTGATTTTAGTCGTTATATTATTTTCCGAGAATAACTCGATGGTCTAAGGGAATAGGAGCAGAATTACCGGAAGAATATAAAAAATTTTGGAAGGAGTGGAAACTTCAACAGCCGACTGCAGTTCATTACATAAAACAGCAAGAAAAATATACTAGAAATGAAAAAACAGGAGAAGTGTATGTTATAAGAAAACTCAACTTATCAAACTATATTAAAAAATATTTTTCATTGTTTTCATTGTAGTCAACCGGTACAAAATACTCCGATTCCTTTGAAATATCCAAAAGAATTTGAACAATATATATTGGGCGGAGAAGCTGTAATCCAAGGCTTTCGACAACGTGAAAAGTATTGTCGCAGATATCCTCATTTTTGGTTTCCTTTATTAAAAAAATCTGTCCTATATAGTGAAGTTTTAGATTCGTATATGAGAGTAATTGTTACACAAAGAACCATTCTTTTAATTCATGAAAACTACGGATTTGATCATTATTTATTGAAGGTGTGTTGAAGTATGACAAAGTATTTGAAAAATGTTATTGAAAAAAATCACAATTATTTATTTCTTAGACTCCTGCGTGCGATTTAAAGTCAGAACTTGCTGTAAAACTAAAGCGACAAATACTTATAGCATTGGCAGATAAAACATTATATCCAAATGACGAAGCCAAACGGGACGAAGTATATGCTAAGTATTCACAATATTTATCTTCGGTAAGTTATTTTATTTGTCTACTTCTTCAACCTTCAAAATATCTTTATTTATTACCTATCACTTTCTAGTATACGCGAGAAGAAATTGAATGGTATGGTTTAACATATAAGGATGCATGTAAGAAATGGATTGCTTTGAAAAAAGAGGAGAATAAAGTACAGCCATTAAAAATTCTATACAGATCTGAATTAATAGCAAAACTTAAAGAAAATAATGTTAAAGAAGCACAGGATAGTGATGTTCTACTAAAGGAAAAGTATGTTGTATAAATGGTTTTTCTGAATATGTCAACTTTTAACTGTAATAAAACTAAACATAATTTTTGTAGGGACGGTGATTTGTGGATATCCAAATGGAATCCATTTTCAAAGAGCTCAGGAACCAAATAGGTAATATCTGCAACTTGATATTACGTACTTTATAAATAGTAAAAAAAAAAGGAAAAGATTTAAGTAAACGTAATATTCGAACAAATGTTTTGTTATTGGCAATACAAATTTATTGATATTAGATTTTTTAAAACTATTGGTAATATATTATTTTTTATGGATCATTATTTCAAATGTTATAATCAATTTTTAAAAACTTTTACAATTACGAAATTATTAAAATCTTTGATTATCTAAAACTTTCCTATAGAAAAAAAGAAGTTAAAAATTCACATATATTATATCCTACTTATAAAGGAAATTGTCTAAGAAAAATCTCGAATTTGAGAAAAAATTTACTAAACTTCTTCGATATAAACAAAAATTAAACTACGATATAGAGCATTCTAAATCACCATCTTTTGGTAAACAATCCAACAAGGATGCTACAGCTCTTGTAATGTATGTCATTGTACCAAAACTACCACTAGGAGCACTATCATAAAAGTGTTGGCAGACATAAGCTGCTCCTCCACAGAGAAGATTTCCCAATGCTGTTGTTTCACGCTGTTCTTTCGGTTTGGCACAACAGAGAGTAGCATCTCCATCGATTTTCATCTAAAAATAATATATCAATTAGAACTTTATATCTGACCAATTCTCTTTTTTTTTTTTTTATAAATATTCACATTAATAGCCACAGTATTTTATACCTGGTCTTCTAAAAAGATAGCATTAGCTTTGTGTACTAAATGTTCAACAGCAATGAGACCTCCTAAAGAAACTACTGCATTATGTTCAGTCACCAATGTTAATACCATTAAAGCTTCAACAACAAGTTGACGATATTCCGGTTGCGGTATTGTATTTAAAACCGTCTCCACTGCTAAAGCAAATTTTAATTCTCCTGGTGTCATTTCTTGAGTAAGATTTTGGGGAAGAACACGTCCTTCTATAGCTAAACCTTGACACTGGAAAAAATCATAGTAGTACAGATTTGAAAATATATATATATATATATATATCATAATGTATATTAAAATTTTGTATTTATACCCTTTCTAGAACTTGCCAAACCCGTGGATAGAAACCTCGTGGCACTCTATTAAGTGCACCGTCCAATCGACGTCTTCGTAACCATTGTCCTTGACGATCAGGTTCTGTTTCACCGCCATCCGTTTGATCAGAACTTAAAAATCCACCAATCTGAGATTTCTAAAAAATGCAATCATGATTTGTTAATCTTTTACATTGATTATTTCAATCAAATTTATTTACCTTGCTCACTTTACTTGACTTGCAACTGATAACAGAAAAATTACCTCTTCCAACTGCAAAATTTATAAATATTAAAAATATTACAGTTGCAGATTGACTTTTTTTTTTTATAAAAATCAAACTTACCACTACTTATCGCAAACTCTTTTCCGCTCATGATATGATGTAAAAGATTTTTCATTTCAAATGGAGATAAATTCAACAAATGTTCGGAAGCTTCTTCACCCGTACAAATCAATGTTCTTGACAATTCTGTTGCCATAACTTGAATAATCAAACCAACCCTAAGCCTTAACATTTCATGAAACAACTGCGGTTCTGTTCTAATAAACATAGCTAAATATACAAGCAATTCTTGTGTCAACATAGCTGTGGATTCATCATCTCCATATGCTTGATGGATCAAAGATCTTAATTCATTCTCGGGTAATGGAGCTATAATCGTATGCTCATTACTTGGAGGCATTCCAACGGTAACTTGTTTTTGTCGTACTAACAGGTCTGTGACAGCTTTAGCTAAATCTTCTACTCTTTTTCCTAACATACCGGCAGAGTGACGAACAATGCCCCACATTTTTTGTTGACATGCTTTGTCATAAAGATCTTTTAATAAGTCTTTTACTAATACTGGATGACCTTCTTCTACCATGCCCGTATTAAAATAAAGTCCTTGTGAGTCAACCTATAATACATATGAAATTATATATTTCTAGAAATGGAAATAAATAAAGATAATAATTCATTAAACAATAAACTAACAAGATATTGTAATATATCTCCCTGTTCTTCGAGACTCTCAGTCTCACGAAGCATCGTCAATAACTCTTCGACTTCAGTATCAGCATATTGTGTGTCAGATATGGTTCTAGATTTATGACCTTTTCCAGTAGTTTTCCATGGGATATCTTCTGTAGGAGATGGTGTACGATCGGTATGTACCGATTGCGTCGAATTTGGAGTTAAAGTTGTATCTGTTACTTCAATGAATGGATTTAGGGTTAAAATAGCTGACGGTTTGCGATCTTCTCCCGCCATTCCACGAATTTCGGCTAAAAAATAGTTTATATTATATATTAATATGTACATATAATTTATAACATATAATTTCTTCAATATAATTATGTACAACAAATATACTTACACGTATATATAAATTTAAACATTATTAAAATTAAAATAGAAGATACAGAAATTAGTAAATAGTTAGTACACTTACATTCTCGGAGAATGATGAGAACCATGGCACAAGAAATGTATTGTAAAAACACAAAAGTTCCTCTTTCAGGCAACATACAATGAAACTTTTGAAAAGTTAAAAGTGTCTTTTTGCAAATTTACTTTATAGTACTAATTTTTACTTACGTTCAATAGCTATAGATCGCGTCTTTTTAATGGCACCTTTGACAGACATTCTTCGTCTCAAATTTTTTCCAGTTCTAACCAATGGCTTATTAAGAAGACCAATACGATGGGGTAAAGCACGCATCAAGTGTTCATCCAAATATTGTTGGACCTAAGAATCCAAGAAAAGTTTTTTTTATATTTTTCCATTTGTCAACTGATTTTTTTGTGACAAACAATATAGTATTAACCTGAGGATTAAGTTTATCAGGACGTCCATCTTCTGAACTACCTAAGAAGCTCAAATTCGTAATGCATGATGTACTAAGAAAATCATTTAGATTTCCTAGTGATACTCTAGTACCATTTATATAACCACTTTTCAGTTTCTTCATAGTAGTTATCATTGCCAATGGTATTTTTCCTTGATCTGCAAAAATAAATATTTTTTTGGATTTTACAAATTGAATACAATGCAATAATGTGTTTAACAACACTATTTAAGGACTAAAAACTATTCAAAAGTAGATCTTGTCATATAAAACACTTTTTTTATTATCACAGATGATCTAAAGCTGCCAAGGTCGTACCTAAATGATTATGAGTAGCAACTAGTGTTATGGTAGGCCTGCCGAGCATTTGCTTCCAGTTGATGGTCAGGAAGGCCAAGTTGGTTGTAAAAGTATTCGCAAGAAGAGCCGCATCGTTTGTTGTGTAGTATTCCTCCGCGTCAAAGTTCTAATACATGCAACAAACGCGCACACCACCAAACACATAAGCCATTTGCGAATGTTTCTAATCAAATTGAAGAAATTTTTCTATGATTGTTTCTTTTATGTTAAATGAACTGAAAATTGTTTTTCTTTAAATCAATATTTGACTTTGCAAAATATTTTAACATTAGCAGCTTTTGCTCACAATATTGAATTATACCAATTTTTAAGAACAACATTGTAATAGTTAATATATAACAAAACAGATAGAACTTAACTTAATTTTCACTACTTTAAAGGTTATTATAACCAACTATAGCCATTAAGCAAGATTGACAGCAAAAAACAAATGCACACATGCAGACAGACGTGATACAAGTGGAATGGGAATTGAGTTTCTTTTATAGAAAGATCGAAACTTTCTAGAGAAGACTGTTATCAGAAAACCAGGAACTTATCGTCTATACCTCCACAATCGAAAGATATAAGACTTCTCGTAATATCGAAGGTTGTCTTAATGTTATTCGTAATGTGTGAGGAAGACAATAACAAAGATCAAAACTATGGCTTTCAGACAATACATTACTGTACCTAGATGAACGTTCTTGAGGGGCATGACCACAAGAGGCCGGCCCAACATATTCTGCCAGCTAGACTTCAAGAAATTAATTTCGCCTTTGAATATGTCAATCATGAGCTCATAGTCCGATGCGATGTAGAAGCGGGTCATATCTGTCAACTAATGTTCGGTGCGAGAATAACAGGCAACATAAGAAAAGAAACAAGAATAGAATGGTGAAGAAGATCAACGAACATTCAAGTACCTACCTGTGGTGTGAATGCAAATATTTTATCGTGCAGAGAATATAATTTACTGGTACTCAAAATCCCGACATCTCTTGATTTACGGCCAGATAGTCCTAATTTTTTATTTCGTCCTGAAAACATAAATTGTTCATTTAATATTCTATACTATTTTATTCTATATTTAGTATAACATGCTTAAAATATTGTTATTAAATAATCATTATTTTGATTACCTAAATAAGTATATAAATGACTGAGTACTTTTGCTGGTTGTACTTCTATCGGTGCTACTTCTGCGATGGTTTGGACATGAATATCGTGCTGAGCAATTTTTTCTCTAATCTCTGCATCTTCTGCCAAAATAACAACTTGAACCACAACATCCGGTTTTTTTTCACTGCACAAACGTCGATTCAATGGATCTAATTCACCCACTGCTAGAAAGCCCTATGCATAATCAAATTTTTATCGATAAAGCTAAACATAAATTTTTTTTAAATATATCAAAATTATAATTATACTTACTTCTTGCAGTAACTTTCCCAAAATGTAAAGAGATTGAGCCCACATAAATGGATATCTACCTAAAGCTATGCGAGGTTGACTACCAGGTTGAGTATATTCTGCTGCAACATTTTCAGATGCAACTGAATATAACTCAGGAACTAATCTCATTCCATCATCTGCTTTAATTGTTATTTGTTCAAGTAGCATTGAATACTCTGCTACTGCTTCTTTATTCCCTTGGAAACAATAATCCAATATTAAATAACAGAAAAATAAAGGCCACTCGCATTCTATATTTTCAAACATACGCAATTCCCATGGTTCATAATATAATCTGTAGATAATGTATATAAAATTAATGGATATATCGTTGTTATTATCATTACAAAAAGTTATATTACATCCTATCATACCTGTTAGGATCTTCCTTTGGTGTTTTATATCCATCGCGCAAGAATCTTTTGCATCCATAACGACCTTGTAACTTATTTGTTATCGCTTCTCTTGTTAGCTGTATTAAATTAGGTTCATCTACTGCAAATGCAGGAAAGCTTATTATAGACAATAATCCACTATCCAATTCTTTTGAATTTGATTCTCTAGGCAACATAGATTGTAAAACAGCCTGACACTTTTGTGCTTCATCTGCTAATACATGAATTACTGAAGTAGGTCCACCTCTTGCACCAAATAAATCTAATTCGTTCAAAGCTTCCATTGCGGCTTTTGCCATTCCAATACTGCTAGCATTTAATTCAGGTAAGCCATGATTAGTTTTATCTCCTCTTTCCCAAATTCCATAATCAGGAGTACAATAAGCTGATTCAATGTAAAATACTAAATTTTGTATAAAAGCAACCTGTATATAAGCATAAATAAATAAATAAATAAATTAAATAGATAACATTAATTAAAGTATCGTAAAAAATTCAAAATACCTCATCAAGATTAAATACAATTTGTAAGCCAGATGCTGTCATTTGAGCAAGCACTAAAAGATATAAAGAAATAGCATCTATTTGTAGATGACCCCATTCATTATCTCCAACAACAGTCTGTCCATTAACAGAACTATACTTTGCATGCAAAGCGTCAAGAGGATTCTGACTAGATTTAAATTTTTCTACTTTTTCTTTTTGTTGCATCATAGCCATAAGTAAACCTCTCATCAATTTAACACAACTTTGTTCTAATTCATAAGTTTTTGCTCTGTCCTCGTCAACATCCGCTATCTTTTTATATGCCATGGAAAGTCCCCAAACAGCAAGAATACAATAAATATTGTCACGCACCCATGCATGATCATTTTCACGACTTGCAGGAAAAAGACCAGTAACTGGATTTTGATGATTCATAATAATCTTGTGAACTATTCTCTGATAATAGTCCAAACGGACACCAGAATTACTTCGACTACGCATTTTCATATATATTTTAAATACTGCAATATTTAATTCTCAATTATATAATACAATCTTCTCATACATTATTTATATATTTACTAATTCTAATAAAATAATATATTTTTTAGAAATAGCAAAAAGATTAATAAGAATTATCACATACCTTTCTAATAATGTGACAAATCAAAATACTGATTTATTTTTAAAAGCGTATTACATTGAAGAAATCGTGATTCGAAAATATTTTAGCAAACACATTCTAATTACTTTTCTAAGATGATGAAATAATCCTATTTATTTAGAGATTTCTCTAAAACATTCAATGATACAATGTGAAACGAATGTCAAGTATGGCACCAATAGCAGAAACTTCTTTCCTAGACTTGATATCCGCTTCGTATGACTTTGTCCAACTATACATAAGTGACATTGACTATATTTGTACACTTTTTTAGCTCTTTGTTCTTTGCTCAATTCATTTGATGACGTATCCAATTGTAAAGAATTTACCAAAGCGACTACGCATTTCACAATTATATTTCAATTTTATATTCAATAAGAAAAAATAATTGAGTTTTATAATCTTGAACTTCGTTTTCTCTTACTCCCTCCACTTCCTCCAATAAAAAAGAGTTAATAATTTCAAATTTGCACGTGTTTCAATATACGTATGTGTATGTGAACAAAATCGATATAAAGCGCGAAAATATGCAATTTTAAATTACTAGGCAATTAATAAGCAAATGTATCCTTATAATCGAATTAAAAACAGTAATCGATTGCAACAAATTTTAATAAATTTGAATCGTTTTTAAAAATTTAGAAAACTCGCATCTCATGCGAATGATGATAATCGAATAAAAGTATCGATGTATGTCGCAGAGGTGCGGGCGAGCCATAATGAATTTGATCGGCTATTTTGCGCAACAATTTTATACGGAGTTCGTTTCAATGGTAGTTTACTGCAAAGTGGACATGGAGTAGACGTTTTTGCAGTGGTCGCTACCACTTTTTTAGTTTTTATATATATGTTTTAATAAATTTTGCAGTCTACTGTTAAGATTACAAATCTTTCTGACCCTGATAGATTTTTAAATTAAAGCTATGAACCACGTAAAGATGTTTAATTTCAAGAAAATTCTACTGTTTCTATGCATTACATCAGGCTTAACCTCGTCTGCCAACAACGAAACGCAAACAGATGGTGTGCCCGAAAAACTTTCTTCAAATTCAAATAATTTGAATATTTCAAATAACGTGATACAAACGAAGATTGTATCCGTCATATCATTGACAACGATTACTCCATCCATTAGCACCAAGGATTCTAAAGTATGCTAAACTTCTGTTCGCATTTAATTTGACGTACCATAAGTATGTTGAAACGTTTTTATATAATTATAGGCAAGTATTAATAATTCGCTAGACACAGAAGGTGGTCCAGTTTCAAATTCACTATCCGTGCGATCACCGATATCCGATCAGAAAATAACTGCTAAAAATAATTCTACAATGAGAACTGATGATATATTTATAAACAAGAACGTTGGACAAGCCATGACAACACAAAAAGATCTGCCAATTTTGGATAGAAAAAAAGGACATTTAACATTCGATCAAATAACTGTTAATGATACAGTAGAACATGATAATGATAATATAAATAGTTCTAAAGTTGAAGATACTCCTACACAAAATGTGTTAGATATGTCAGAAAAAAAAGTAAATGATACCGTTATTTCTACAATGCCTCCTGTGAACAAACATAAACCAAATCCGAAACCAACTGCGACAACGAGTAGAGATTCAAAAGATTCAAATAAACCTATACCTCCATCACCAACAAAAAGTTCTCCATTAGGAATGCCAAGAAAAATTGATTATATCATACCTATTGCTATTACCATTATTGCACTTCCAATATTGGGTGTAGCTAGTTTTATTCTTTATAATCGAGGTAAAGACTGTTGGGATAAAAGGCATTATCGAAGGATGGATTTTCTTATTGATGGAATGTATAATGATTAATTCACAAAGGAATGTATCTATGAGAATGATCCTTGCAATAAGAACTTGTAACATATACGGTAGACAGCTAAATTGCTTTATCATTATACTTTGTTATATTATGTTCTCTAAACATTCAAGAGAACATTTTTATATAATATCGGCAACACTTATTCTACATTGATATGTATAGTATGTCATCAATTGAAAACATTTTGTTGAGATTTTATTTGTTTATTATAACTATAATGTAGGCTACGATTGTGTTAACAAAAGCAATGCCATAAAAACAAAAATTATCTAAGTGAAGGCAAGGCAATGTCAATAGTAAGAAGAGAAAATTTAGTTGTATATATCATAAGATAATTAAATTAATAATGAATCAAATTTCAAAAAGGTAATTATCATATAACTGTTGCATGTCTAGCATGTTAGTCATATGTTAAAACAAAAATTGGTTTACATTTAACTAGTATATAGTTAGGGATATGCATGAATGATGATAATATATTGGAGATAAAAATAAAACTATTTTTAGTAGAGTATAATGCAAAGATATATTGCATTCTTATGCAATAAAGTAGACAATAATGGCATTATCCAACAAGACCTTGCCCTGCAAATTATCATAAATATAATTACGACACACTGTTGTAAAATAAAACAAAATATACTCAATGTTGTTTTATAAATTGCAGTATGGTGCATAGATTTGACCAAAGAAGTATATAATTGATAATGTTAATATAGTACCATTGTTGCATTTACTTGTATTAATTTGATTTTTACACATTTTTTACATACTATTTCTTTTCTTAGAAATAACACGAAAAAGGGTCATGTTATGTATATACATTGAACTATTGCCATAAGTAAATGTGTTCTATTGACAATATTCGATAATTGTCTTATATTGTTGCAAGACCTATCAATGATTTATGGGTTATACCCATTGTAAAGTTTTCAAAATTGTTATTTATGAAGTTTATATTTTGTCTAAGTATGAAAAAGCAATAATAATTATTTTTATACATATGTATATGTGAAAAATTTATCAATATTGTTATGAAATATAAATACTTACAAGCACAATTATATTAATGATTTAATCCACTTAATATCTGTTTAATCAAGACAAGCGCACATAAATAACAAAAAGATTTATGTAAGTATTATAAAATTTGCATTCTCTCTTTTTTTTTCATAGACGAAATTTTTAAGGTTTTATTATTAAGCTTTCTTTGTGTAGGTACATAAATCCAGTGATATTTCGTTACATGTATATCGCAAATTATACATCCATTAACAGACAACTATTGTGAAAAAGATGTTAATATCATCTTTTGTGTTAATTTGCAAAGAATAGTGCTCTTAGAATATTTCGTATATTCTATACTATGTGTTATCACAAAACATAATATCATACATAAACAGTCACGATGTTTACCGAGAATGCAGTATATTGAATTTCATAAATCGTATTATTTGGTACAGAATTATTTTAGAAATAGAAAAAATGAAATAAAAATAAAAATAGAAATAAAAACTTCAATTCGTTTAATATGGATATCGTTCAGTTCGATCATCCACATTTATAGTTTTGAAAATGACATTTTGTACACGAAAGATTTCTTTTTTCTAATACGTTTATATAAGCTATTTTCAGTTTGAATGTATATTTCAGATGTATAAAGCTAATATAGCATTTAATAGTTATGCACAAGCTATAACCATCTAAATAAATTGCTACAAAGAATTACTATAAACTTAACGTGGAGTACATTGAAATCGTTAAGTCATTGATTATATAAACTACGTTAAAATATAAAAATAGTATTGTTCATAAAGTCAAATTTAATATTAACAGCTTAGTTGGAACGACAAATTCAAAATCCATCGATCCGACAATTTTAGAGAATGTTGTTCTTGCTCTCGATGATCGTGTTAACTCGTTTTTGCGTTAATAATTTAAAAAAAATTTACATTATCATCATAATAAATGTATACACTAATAATTAAAAATCCGTCCAATTATGTTCAAGAGGAATTTCTTTCTTATCTTAGAAAAAATGATTTATATCACACGTTTCATTCAAATATATTTTTTCGTAAAAAGAAAAAGTAAAAAAATAGTATAAGTTGTGCACATGATTACAGCCGAAAGAAATCTCTCCATCTCTCTCGTTCTCGTTCTCTTTTTCTCCTCTTTCTCTAAAAATAAATGCTATATAACTATCATATAGTAGAAAAAAAAAATTGTCTTAAAAATTCTGTTTAGTTGATTCGTGAATGCGTCGAATTATATAGATAAGTTCAGCGAGATTAGGCCTCATTGATCACGCTGACCAAGGTTGTGCACGATTGAACAAATTCACGAATCGGTTCTTACCCATCGTAGAGTTTTGAAACTTCTTTAGATTAATTGAAGAAATGTTCACGTCAAATGCAAATCGAAGTAATCGTCGTTACTTTATTCGACGATACTTATCTGAACCAGGAAGTTTTGTCTCAAGATTAATCCCAACACCTTTATATAATCGAATATATAATCCTCTTATTTGGATTTATATTTTGCTTCATCAGGAAATGCCTCTCTCGGAGGTACCAAACTAAGCATCATCACATGACGTTGATAAGCTCTCGAATTACGGAATTGAGTGTCCGTTCCATGAAGACGATCTAAAACGCCTAATACTCCGAAGCACTGATTAAATCTGAAACAGTAAACATGTTTTTTTATTATTATTATTAGCATGACATTACGTTAAAAGTTAGGATATTTAGAAAACATAGAAAAGATAATTTACTTTAAGTGATGAAAGTCGTGTGCTTCTGGAGATGGGAAAAATGGTAAATGATAACCAGAATGGGCATTCAATGTTGAAAGAATCGCAAGAGAGAACCACAACCATGCAGTGGCTACGTGAGAACCAACGATGAAGACACCGAGAAACGGTGGAATCAAATTGGAGCCGATGTGTTCTAAAGGATGACAATACAACGCTGTTACCGCTACTGGTGCGGTCCATTCGTGATGCTGCTTATGTATGTACTTGTATAAGTAACGGCTGTGCAGAAATCTACAATCACGAAATATGTGAGAAAAATCTTTTTTTGTCGTATCAGATTTATATGACGTACCTATGAGAATAGTAAAATCCGATTTCCTCACACAATATATGAATGGCGATCTCAACGAGAACCCAATGAAAAGTTGGTAATTCTCTTACCGAGGGATAACCTCGCCATTCCATAAAATGATAACTGCAGTATGCTATAGGCAGTCCAACGATTATTTGATTGAACAATACTTGAGCGATTACTTTGCAGAGTTCTCTCGTGTCGACTGGCTCGTTTGTGCCTGGCTGGATTTTGTATCTTCGTAACGCTGCCGGACGATTTGTAATGTCAAGTATCGTATAAATGCCGCCGAAAACCCAATAAACTATGAACGTCAATCCCATCGAGCCTAAATAAAGAATTTATCCATATACATTAAGTTATACATCATCATCATGATTATTATTATTATTATTATTATTATTATTATTATTATTATTATTATTATTATTGATATTTCTTTTTTTTTATTTTGTTATACCATAAACCCATAAGGTTACAGGATCGTCTCCTAACTTATTTAAAATCTTGTCCCATTGAGCCTGCCAAAAGTCACCGGAAGCACCCCAAAATCTTTGCAAATGCCTATAAAAACGTTTAAAAATATAAAATATGACATTTAACATATAGCTTCTTGTTAAAGTATTATTTACCATGTCAAAGAATTGCAAACGGCAGCAAATCCGATAACGACTGTTCCGATGACAAAAAGAACGCTTCTCAAGCTCGAAAGCAACGTAGGCGGAGTTTGATTTTTGCCGGCATCTCCGCTTGGATTGGTAACTACAAAATTTACGAGTAATTCATTATTACCATTAATAAATATAAATTTTGAAAAAGGGGATCTTCTGTCATAAACAAATCGAGAATTATTAAGGAAATACATATTTATATACTTTTACAATGTCAACAGGAATAACTCTTATATGACATTTAAATTATATTTATATTACTTCACTGTTATTTTATTTTCTTTATAAGAAATTTTTTCGATGCATTTTTTTAAATTTAATTAATGCAAGATAAATCGATAAAACTGACATAATCAGATAAGGTTATACAATCGATATTAAAATGATACATTGATTAGCGCGGAAATTTATATGCTTAAATCCAAGTGGCAATTTCCTTAATCTCTTATAATAGTAGTCGTTAAATATGATTCATGATTGGATAGAATGACAATTTATTTTTATGATGAAGTTACAAAAAAAGAATATATATATATATGTATCTATACACGTACATATATACACATGAATTATCGTATTATATTTTTATTTAGATTTCACATAATAATAAGGAAAACAATAAGAATTCTTCATAAACAGTATACACTTCTTTTATATATTATATAATATGAACAATTCTTATTATATAATGTGTATAATTCTTTTAAATAGATTTAATGAAATTAAGAAATAAATAAATAGAGAGAGAGAAAGAGAGAAATATGTTCTTGTTTATCTTCCATCATTTCGCATTTATATTTTTCGCTTCATCAATCAGTATCACATAATGTTTATAAAAGATATTTTTTATCTCTGATAGCAACAAATTTAAATTTCATTTAATGTTTACTTATTCGTGAAAAACACTTATTTCATAAAATGTTTTCAAATTCGATTTATTACATCATTTATTAATTTATTGCTTTTTTTTTTTTAATATTTGGAAATTTATCTATACCGTTCAGTTTTTAATAATAATAACGAATATGAATTCGCTTAATCAATAGCGTACACTTTTCGAAAAAGCAAAAGTTAAATTTACTTTCACTTTTTTCTTTCATTTTTTCCCATTAAATTTAAATAGATAATATAATCATTAAATCAATATCTTATGCAAGAATTTTATATATAACGTTCTTCATTGCGATCAAGCAATGATTTGTAATAAATATATGCAATGTTGTTTATCTATAATTTTCAGAGATATTGAAATTTATAATATATTTATATACATACACATTTTAACCACTCATTTGCCTAATGCAATTAATACTACAAGAAAAACAAGAAGGAAAGAAAATTGGCTGTTAAAATTGCATCATTTAGTGATACAATTAATTAATCTAATTATTAAGGAAATTTATTTTAATTATAAAAAGTTAAGCATCAATTAAGTGCTGTCGCGATAAAATTAAAAAAAAATGTTAAAAGTTTTTATTTGTGAATGATTCTTTTATATTTGTATAAATATGAAAGTTTCGCGGTGAAAATCCTGTTACTACGCATCGGTGGTCTTTATACAAGCTATTAGCACGTAAGAACTATCCCATCTACTGATAAAACGTATTATATAAAACATTTCGCGACACGAATACATGTAATATTATTTTTTTACTATCACCTCATAGTTTTAAATAATCCGAAATTTTGTTCGATTTACAATATAATTTTTATTTTGATAAGAATAAACAAAAGAAATTGATAAAAATGTAATGTTATATTTGTTACTTGTCTCATATCATCAGTCTCATTATTATTGTGCGTTGATATTGCTTCGCGATTATCAAGATCCAATTTCTTCATTGTATATTGCAGATAGTGATATAGATACAGATCTTTGTCACATGGTATTGATAAGTTTAATACCAAAGTATGAATGTGTTGCTTTTGTATATGCCAAATGATTTATAATATTTCATGAGTAATATTTATCGAATTATTATTATTATTTATTGCATTAACAAAGCCATAAATCAACAAATATTTGTTTTTACATCTTACATAAGAATGTAAGATAAAACTATTGCAAAAGATTAAAGTCTAGCAAGATCTTCGTAAAGGTTAGAAAATAATGAGGAAAGGAAAAGAAACAAGAAAAAAAATGCGATTCGAATGCGTGAATAATTAATCGATCGATTTGCGAGCTCGTTTATTTATCTGCGACCTATCCTTTTCTGACCTCACAACCGCGCATTCTCTTCTTGCTATTACATATACATAACATGCACAACCTACTCAACTCCGTGGCGCTTTAGCTCTAGACTATAAAATAAATGTCAAGAAAATGAAATGTCAGAAAGAGAAAAATTTTGGAAAAAATATATCCCTTTTATCGATCAAAAGAAAAAAGTCTTTGAGAAAAGAAAAACTTGTGAATCCGATGGTTTTAGAATAAATGCGAGCAGAAACACGACAGCAAAAAGTAAAAAAAGAGAAAGAAATATAGAGGTATATATATGTATATATATGTATGTATATATATATATATATATATATATATATTTGTATATATATATATATATATATATATATATATATACAAATAGAGCAAGAGAGAGATATAGAAGATTACGCCTTACCTTTGCATTGTCTTTGGACGTCCATCACGATTGACGACGTCCACGATAAAACGTTTACTCCAACTATTCACGTATAGACGCGACGAAGAAGCAAGAAGATCGCATTTGTCAAGCTGCTCCTTATTCAGGTACCGTGTGTTAGTCGATATTTCGTGAACACAGACTTAGTTGTCACCGTCGAATGCGCCGTAGCACCAGAAAGCGATTCTTCCTTCCTCTCCCCTCCCATCCCTTCCTTTCCCCTCCCAACCCTTCCTCTCCCCTTCCATCCCTTCCTCCTACCCACGATTCTAGTGCGCCTGCGATTAAAGGTACATAAGAAGAACCGCGTTAGTGCTATTCTTTCTTTTCTAACTTTCGTTTTCTTTTTTCTTTTTTTGATTTTTAACAGACGAATTAAGATATTACTCATAACGACTTATTATTATCGATCTATTTTTCTGGAATCTTTTTGGAAACATTATTATATATTATTCTTTCATATTTCTTTTGTTTAAATAATCATTGATTTTCAATTTTGTTTTTGTGAAAAAGCGCGCGATAATCGATCGACAAATCTGCATTGGCTTTTGTTTTTTTAAAAACCGCGCGATTGGAAAATATTGTTTATTTTTAATTGAGAAGAGAAATAATGCTATTCTGTTCGATATTTAGTTTCTTTCTTTAGTATATTTAGTTTAATTATAACAGATTGTTTAGAATTATTGATGATATGTTCGTAGGAAATTATATTGTATTGATGAGATATGAAAAATTTTACTATAATGATTAATCGCGTTCTTTGAAATGTTTTTTCAGTTTTAACAATTTTTTTTTATCATTATGCTGTTTATAAAACTAAGAAAACTATGAAAGGAAAGTGTAGTAAATGTTTGTGAGTTAAAACATAAAAAATAATAGTAAATAAAATGAATGATTTCAATGCGTGTTTCAATGTTTCGATTTTATTGAGTTAGTACGCATTAAATCCACCAAATGGCGCTATGGTTCCAATCTTAACCAACGGGTGTTAATTTTTGTCCAACTTCTTACGACGGAAAGGAAAGCTCGAAAGATTTTTGATAAATTTTCAAATATCGTATCGAACAAAGAACGAACTGTATAAGTAATAAAAAGGCAAGTCTGTGTGAGTATCGTGTATATGTATTGTGCATTTGTTTCTTGTAGAAGAAAAGTACTAGTCGTGCGAAAAAAGACAGAAAATATGTGCAGACACAGTGACGCATTTCCATCTTGACATCTTATAGAACTAAAATAAAAGGTAAATATATTTTATAGATAAATTGTTTGTTAAAACAAAAAATATGCTTTTTTTTATCCGTTAAACAATTTCTTATTTAGTTCAATATTCTCGACAAATTCGTAAGTCCCTTAACCTTTCTTGTTATAATCTTTTCTATCTTCTGCAACGCGTATGTTACGTCATTTTGCTACGTGTACACAAATATTTCTTACTTCTTTCAATGTTTAAATACATGACAACTATTTTCTTATCTAGTTGAAAATGATTGGTTCGTAATCGAAACTAGAAGATATATCGTAGGTTAATTTTTATCCTTTTACATTTCTGGTGTACCAGTAAAAAATATGAAATATATCTTGTAATTTGGATTTGAAGATTAGAGCGCATGTTTATAATTTCCGAAATGTATTAATATTATTGTCAAGTTAATTAATTTATTATTAGATTTATTTTGAAGAAATTACATATATTTCTATGTGATATATTGGAATATGTGAAAGTAAAAAAAGGATAATATATTGAGTTCTCCAAAAAGTATGATTATTAATAAATAATATATCTAATTATTTTGTAATTATTTTTTTTTTTATTATCCTGCAGATGTTTATATCTTTTTATACTATATTGATTCTATCATTGGATATGTTAAAAGATCAACCTAGTTTATAGAAATGTTTACAGTCTATGTGTAGGTTAATATAATTAGTTCACCTCGGCAGAGCTACTATCCAATTAGTTCATGAAAATGAGAACATTGGGTGGAGCTTGAATATCTGAACATTTTAGTAGAACTTTCACTGCCACATATTCTACAAGTTATCGCAAACTAAATCAATCATAGAATTAGTTTAATATAAAAGACAATGAAGTGTTTTATGGTACTTTTATTTGTACAGTTCATAATGTGGGGGGAATTTGAAGAACCACCAGGGACCATGGAAGAAGGTCCACCTGAAATGTTAGAAGCAAAGAAGACCTGCAAGCAAAATAAAAATCAGTTGGAATCTCTTAAAGAAATTATGTTGAAGAATAAGCAAAGTTTGAAAAAGAAAGAAGAAGAAGTACAGGTGACATTTAACATATTTTTACTTATTAATTTTATTCTGTTATAATCTTTTATTTCATATATGAATTATTTATTTTATTGATTTTAATTGTTAATTATTTATTTTATAGATTTTTAATGCATTGTGATTTGTATATATAATTTTAGGAATATGCTAGTAGACTATCAAAAATTAAATCTAGAACTAAGCTGTCAAAACGCAGTAAAGAGGGTGCTTCGACGTCTAAAGATTTGGAACAACTATCTGAAATTGATACCAGTATAAAAGATATTAGTCAAGCAACAACACCTAAAGCCAAATCTTCTTTGCTTCAAAGAATGTTGGTAGAGAATAGAAAAGTATTTGAACAACGTAATAAAGAAATAACAGAAACAAAGCGAGCTGTAGAAGAAAAAGTGGAAGCTATTAGACAACAATTGGATGAAAAAGATTTAGCGATGATGGAATTGCAAAAGGATCAAACTATAACACCTGTAATAGTTACATCTGAAGTATGTCATATATTTGATACATTATATGCAATATTACATGAAAACAATATAATAAACAGTTTTAATTTTTTAATTTAAGATGGTAATACCAATGCCAGAGTCTACTTACATTCAGGAGAAGGATAATAAAATAATGGAGCTCAACAATAAGATTTCTGAGTTACAAGCAGTTATCATGGATCTCCAAGAAAATTTGAAAGAAAAGGATTCGGTTATAGATTCTAAAACTAAAGCTATCACACTTATGTCAGCTGATCTTTCTAAAAAGGGAAAAACAACATTAGATACGCTTGAAGATACGAAAGGTGAAATGCGAACCATGCAAGAACACTTTGTTTTATTAGAATCATCATTAAAACAAAAAAATGATAATCTTCTTCAGCAACTTCATGAGAGAGATGGTATAATATCAGAATTAGATAGTACAATTAAAAGGTAAGCATTAAACAGGGATGTATTGTGATTAAAGATATGAAATGTTGAGATTTTTCTACATTTTTTCTAGATATGAAAATGATCTAGTTGAACAAAAGTTAACTGAAATAGCAAACTCTGATTTATTGCGTTCAACATTGGATACTTTGACAGATACAAAAAGTGCCATGAAATCTATGCAAGAAAATTTTATTCTCATTGAATCTTCCTTGAAAATGAAAAATGATAACTTACTTCAACAATTGCAAGATTATGAAATTAAATTAGCAGAAGCTAATGAAAAGATATTTCAATTAGAATCTGACAAAGGGATAGTAAGAACACCTTCGGTAGAAGATTTACAGTATAACCTAAATAAATTGAAAGAAAATAATCGTCAATTGCAAGATGAGAAGTACGAACTTCAAAAAAGTATTGCTGACATGCAAAATAAAATTATTGCTTCTAAATCTATGCACGGAAATGGAGCTATTATGGAAAAAGACAACAGGATAGCAGAACTTGAAAACTTGATAGAAGAACTTAAAAGGTCTAATGATTTGCTCGAAGAGGAATCTAAGACCGAATTACAAAAGCAGCTTGCAGAATTATCTGTGAAAAATGAAGATTATTCTAGTAGAATTATGGAGCTTGAAAAATTAGTGCACAATCTTGAAGTAGAAAAGAATCATATTGCATCTCAATTGCCATCTGAACTTTCAGTGCAAAAAGAAAATGAAAAAATTCAAAAACTTACAAAAGAATTAGAAGAATTAAATAGAAATATGGTTAAAATGAAAGCCCAGCACAAAAGTAAAATAAAAGGCTTGCAAAAGCAACTGGAAAACTTTAAAATGGTAATTATAATTTTTCATCATTATTTTTTAATATTTAGTACTATAATAAAATATTATTTTACATACAAATGTTTAGAAATAAATAATAATATATTTACACATAATTTAGGTGTCTGACACAAATGCGGAGCTTGTTAGGCTGGGAAATCAAGTTGCTTTATTGGAGGAGGAGAAAGGTAACCTTCAGCTGAGTCTGGTAGACTTTGACGAGCTTAAAGGTAGGAACCAGGACAGGAATTATTTCGTTGTTCTTTTTCATCCTTCTAGTTATGAGACATAATGTGAAATTTCTTCATATGATTTTTATAATAAGTTAATCTTTACAGTGCAATGTCAATATAGAAATATTATATATATATTTGCGTGTATGCGTGTATGTATTTTCATGCATATATGTACATGCATGTATCTACACATATACATGCATATATATACATCAATATTATTGTACATGCTATAAAAAGATCTTTTCTATACTTGAAAATCAAATATTTACTTGTAAATTGATAATGAAACAATATAGCTTTTAACGATTTTTGGTGATGGATTCTTATTTGATTTATAGTTAGTTTTGTTTGTATATATAATGACGAAAAAATTCATGAAAAATACTAATCAACGAACAAATAAATTGTATTAAATATTAGTTGGTTTTATGTAACATGGTACCTACTTTACTTGTCAAAGTTTGCTATTATCTGATTTGTAGATATAGATTATTTATCCTTTAGAAAATATAATCATTTTCTTCTCTCTACTATTAATAAAAAATAATTTTATTAGTCATTTTATCTGCATGAAGGGTTATGAGACTTATATTTACTTGTTCATGAGTTATTTTTTATAATTACTACACATACATATTAAATTAATTTGCATTATTAAATATATAAAATGCTAACAATTAAGTTAATATGATTAATCAATAACATTTTCAATATATTTTAATAATGATCTATATTGAATTATATATTAATTATATTTTCATTTTTATTGATTGTTAATTAAAGAAGGGTAAATATTGCTATAAGAACTGTTTGCATATTTTCACAATTCATTTCTATATAAACACACTAAACATTTATTGCACTTATTACTTAACGCTTCATTAATTATATAATTATAAATAAACGAAATTATTTGTATA